ATTCATTCATTCATCCACAGATCGTAATTTTGTCCTGAATCAGAGAACGATCGATCTCCTATCCAGTACCCCCAGAGGTATTGATTTATTATGGGAACATGGAGGACTTTTGCGACTCGACAGATTTAACGTGCATCAGTCACTTTGCTACACGGGGAGTCTTCGGCCGACGGGGTTCAAACCCACGAACTCTCGGACATGGGCCCAGCGCCCTACCGACCAGGCTATCCCGGCCATTAAAAAAACCCTATTTTAAGATAAGTGGATTTAAAGTTTTCATTGCTATGGAAAAGGCATAAGAAATGCTTTAGTTTGCTTAAACTAAGTTTACCTTGAAGTTGAATTATGAGTTGTGCTAATATTGCTGCTGAAAAGAATATGTATTTTCTATTTACACCTGTTCTTATTTCAAAACGAGTGTTTTGCCACTACTCCAGCCCATCAGCGATATATATCTTCATGTTTTAGCGATATTTGAGAAAAAAAATTAAAATTGTTCGTAAACTTTTGTTAAAAATGTTGTGTCATAAATTTACTCCTAAAATTTTAAGTGATATCATTGCCCAATTAAAATTTAGGTTGCAAATTTTATGGTAGACCCATCCATGTTTAGTTCTTAGCATATAACGAAGGATAGTATAAAATATATTTAAATATTTACTTTAAAGTTTTGATCTTGAGTGGAATAAAAAATTTTCCTCACAAAAATTCTTTGCGAAATTCACTTTCACTTGATTTTCATTTTCTTTACAAAATATGTTTTGAATGTTTTACTATAAAATCAAATATTAGCTATAAAATCAAATCGGACTATAAAATCAAAATATTTTTCTCTCTGATTAACTTCACAAACTGTTTTACACGATTTTCAAATTAAGAGTATCTGAACGTAATGGAGCGCATTAAATTAAAAAAAAATTTCTAAAATGTAACGACTATAATTATATATGTTTAACGTTGCCTGCCACAATGAAACCAAGTTTCAAAAAATTGAGAAATGTTATGTAAGGAAAAACGAAGGAATCAAAATTTGTTTCTGAAAACTTAAATATTCATTAAAAGTTTCGCTGCCTGAGATGGATTTTAAATGAATCATGCAACTAAGTAAAAGCAACTTTGAAATATATCTAAGTTCAAACAACTTAAATTTTCTCCTACGTGCAAGCAGTTAAAAAAAAATATTGTTAAGTCTAAAAAATCTCAAAATATTTCTAACTGCAAACATTGTCAGAAATTTTCGAAGTATTAGTAACTTCAAAGTTTTCAAAGTATAAGCAACTTTGAAAAATTTAAAGTTCAAACAACTTAAAAATTTTCTAAATAGAAGCAACTTCAAAATGTTTCTAGTAACAAACAACCTCAGAATTTTTCAAAGTTCAAATAATTTTAAATATTTTCAAAGTTCAATTAGCTTCAGAAACTTCTCAATTTAAACAGTTTAAAAATATTACTAAGTCTGAAAACCCTCAAAATATTTCTGAGTAAAAACATCTTCAGAAATTTTCAAAGTCTAAACAACTTCAAAGTTTTTTAAGTACAAGCAACGTAAAATACCAAGTAAAAATACCAAAATGTTTCTAATTATAAACAACTTCAAAATATATCTAAGTTCAAACAACTTAAAAAATTTTTGTTACAAACATCTTCAAAATATTTCTAGATATAATCAACTTTAAATATTTTTAAAAGTTTAAGTAGCTTCAGAGATTTTCCAATTACAAACAGTTTAAAAATATTGCTAAGTACAAACAGCTTCAGAAATTTGCAAATGACCAACAACTTCAATTTTTTCTAAGTTCAAGAAACTTCTAACTGTTTATAAGTACAAACATCAAAATCTAATTTCAAACATCAAAATCTAATTCGAAACAACTTCAAATTTTTCTAAGTGCAAACAGGGTAGCCATCCTCTCCGCAGAGGATCAAAATTGCGATGGCCTGTCTTCGGATCATTCTCAGGGATGTTTCCCAGACCGTTGCCAATAGCCTATTGTGCAGCTCTAGAGCGACGTAAATAAAGTACGTACCTACCTTATGTTAACATTATGTTCTAAACCTAATGTTCAAAACCTAATAATAACCTTATGTTAACATTGTGTTCTATAGAAATAGAATAACTTTCTGGACAATAGTTTTTTCCGATGAAAACTTTAAAACAGGTTCTTTTAATTAGTACACCTTTGATATTTAAATTATTATTTAAAATAAGATCATTAATGGTAAATGTTACAAATGATTGTGTTATAAAATTTAAATATTGTAGAGTAAAGTTTATGGAAAAGGAAATAAAAAATATTAATTAAAAATTGAAATTTATTTAACGTTTCCATTTTTTTAATTCTCTGTGTTCTAGAAAGAAATCTTTTTCTGCAAAAAAAATGAAGTTAAAATATAAAAACTCACGGAACTAAACTCCTAAAAATTAAAATGAAGTAAAGGATTAAACAAAAGAAAGATAAAAGTAGTATTAAGAACCTCAAATAATTTAAAAAAGTTTTTTAACTTTTAAGTTGAAATAATGAAACCTCTTAGTCCTTTCATTTTCTTGTTATTTACTTACAACTGAATCGTGAAGCTTTGTTAGAAGCTAATTTAAGATCCCCAGTTTTAAAATGGAAATGAAATAAATTCGTTTTTTGCGTGTTTGGAATATTGCTTTTTCTCTCAGTGACTTTAAGATTAAATTTACCAGAAGAACATTTTTCGTTTAAAAAAAATTAAAGCACTATAAACTAGACTTATTGCTTTTGTTTGCACAGCAGAATTTAACATGCAACTTATGTCTTACATATAAGTAAAACAAGCAAAATGCTTTTAAAAACAAATATTTGATTTTCGACAAAATTTAGTATACTCAACTATCCTTTCTATAGAACATTAAAAGGCAAAATATTTATTTAAAAATACTTATTGCTCATATAAATTAGAATATAAAAATAATAAGTTTTACTATTCTAGTTAAAATTATTTTTAAAACAAAGTCGTAAGTATAACAACTAAAGCTTCATGATTCCGATTTCTTAGTTTTTACATTGATTTTTTAAGAAAGGGAAAAAAATAACCTAACACTTTTGTCACATGACTGTAAGCTATCAGTTAAAATTAAATAATATCTTTTAAAGATTACAAATTCATGAGAATAGTAAGAAAAATATTTCTAAAAAATATAAATTGTTTGATAAAATAACATTTAAGCGAATTAAAAAAATTTATTTTTCATTCCAATTGTCTGCTCCATTTTGCAATATTTGAACCTCTATAGAATACATCAAATATTATTACTCATGGATAATTTTAAAATTTGTGAATTTAAAAATGTTTTGGATTTTTTGTTTTCAGAAGAAAAAAAGTCATTTTAGAGCATTAGAATGTCATACTTTATTGGGATTTTTCAAAACTTAAATGCATAGAACGTAAAAGAAGAATTCATACAATTGAATTAATTTAAATTAGAGAGAGCTTCACTAATGAAAAATGACATAAACAGTTTTTAAAAAATTTTGTCTACAGAATGTAATACGATTTTTTTTTTAGTTTTACAATTTTTTCAGAACCAGTGACTTCATATTTCAGACATTCCTATTACGTATATTTTTAGAAACCATTATAAAAATGTCAAAAAACATTTCAAAAACTTTGCCATTTTCGTTTTTCATTAAGGACTTACATAATTTTCATTCATAATTTTTATAACCTTTTAGAATTTGTTTCTAGGGAATGTGGATATACTAACTGCAAATTGCTTTTTATAATCATCGTTGAACAATTGACCAAATTTTGAGTTCAGACTACCAATCCGTAGTTTTGAAATTTTGAACCTAATCCAGAATTATAGAGGGTAGCCGCAATCTGTGAAATATGGTTCCAATAGTTTGGTCAGGTGAGCGAATCAAAGTGTGGACCCCATAATGTTAATTTTACTTTTTGCATATTAAACAGGTCTCGAGAACTTTTCAGGCGAGTTGACATTTTGGTGCAAATTTGTAAAATTCTTTCATCGAAAGATAATTCTGTACAGAAGATAACTTTTAGTAAATATTTACTGTTTTTTAATATTTTATTTAATGATAATCGAAAAAAATTTTAATTGTAAAGTATAAAATTTTTCACATCATTTTGAAATATTTAATTTTACAAGGCGAAATACAAAATTTGATTGAAATTACTTGGATATATCCGGAAAAATCGAGTTTTAAATATTTTTTTCAAAATTTCAAAATTCAATTTCTCAGGAAAAATTGAACTAACTTCGCTCAAATTTTGTAAAAAATTATATACCTTACAATTAAAACATTTTTCGACTATTATTAAAAAAATATTAAGTGCGTTACATTATATTTTTGCATGGAATTATCCTTGAACAAAAATTTTTTATAATAGTGTGCAGAAATGTTTCAATTCGCTTAAAAAGTTCTCAAGATATGGCGAAATACGCAAAAAATAAAAATTCATATTAGAGGATTCAAACTTTGGATCGCTCTCCAGAACCAAAATTTCAGGACCATGATTCCCAGATGGCGGTTACCCTCTATATTTTAGGGGTCAGAAATTTGAATCCCTTAAATAAAAGATATGTATATTTGGAGAAAGTTAAGTTTTAGTGTTTAATTTTGTAACTTAAAACATCGTAGTATTAAAGTAGCATGATGGAAGTTTGTTGTCATATCAAAAACGATGAAAATATAACGGAACATGTTGGATGATGGTGACCCTCAAATGATGTTGGACCATCGTGAATTGCAGTGAAACCAGCATAAACCATCAAAATTTTTGCTGGGACCATCATGATTTTTTATTTGGGAAGTTAAAAAAAAATTTTAGATTCAGCCCTGGGATTAATTTAATCAATAAAATTATTATGTTATTGTAAAAAAAACTCCAGTAGATAAGCAAGAAACCGCATTGATATGATAACATTGTTTGCATTTTAGTTTATCTAATTTTGCTATTGCTTTTTTTAAACTAAAATAACTTTTCATTAATTTTGGATTTTTTTTCTTTTCAGTGTTCAAACATTCCAAGATGAAATGACTTAAAACATTGGAAATATCTCATCAAAAAGAAAACTTTACCTATGTAAACATTTGCTAAGATCTGAACTTCATTTCAAGTCCGAAATGAAAAAAAATACGAAGCTTGACTAACATTGGATGCACCATAAAAACTTTTATTTCCTGCAATGAAGTGTTACTGGCTCTGCCATTTGAATATTCTATTATTTTTATGTACTTTGTTTGTGCAAGTAAGTATTTTTTTTACTCATTTAATTAGAAATGTGTAATTTTATTTAAGCTAAGTAGTGTTTGGAGTTTAAATTTTTATAAAAAATTTTGCAAATTAATATGAAGCTTATTAAAAACTTTGCAAATCATATTGTAAATATGAAGCTAGATATTTCATTAAGGCAGTTTTTCGAAGGATTGGCTACCACATTAAATAATTCCTTTTAGCAAAAATTATGTTAATGCTTTTGCTTTGTAACATTCATGAATGTTTGCTTAAATGCCAATAATGAAAATGGCGCACATTTCTGTGAGAGGAGAAGTCATTTTTTTGAAACCGAAAAAGGGTTTTGTTTTTATTTTTTAATACTGATAAATGTTAATGCAACCGTGCGTTGTTTGGACCCATAAGAACTGAAGAAATTGAAAGTAATTCTTCGATTTTATGTCTGTTTTTCGAAGGCTCTGATGTCACATGATGCCTTTTTGCAAATAATATGCTAGTTTCATAACTGCTATGAGTTTGCAACAATTACTCATGGCTGTATTTAGTCTGAGAAAAGTGCAAAACGTCAATATGAAGACAAATCACAGTTTTAGGAAAATGAAAAGCTTTCGTGGACTGATTAAAATTTGTACAAATTGAAAATAAGACTTTGATTTTGATAGTTTTTATCTAGGTGGAAATTTTTGGAGAAATTGATTGGAAATCGCCAAGTGGGCGATTTTTAAGAAAGTTTAAAGATTTTGAAAATGTTTCAGTTTTTTGTCCTTTCTAAAGCGTAGATAATTTTTTATGGCGAGATGGCATATATAGTTTAAAATTTCAGATTTGCTTCAAGTGAAAGACACTTAAATTGTTTCTTTTTCATTTTCCTTGGGAAAGGAGTGTCGAAAATCCAGGTTAATGAGTTTCATTTAAGTGGAAAAATCTCGCCAATTTGGTGATTTTTAAAGAGTTCTAAAGCCTAAATAATTCTGTACGACAAGACTGCATATATAGTTTAAAATTTTAGATTTGCTTCAAGTGAAAGACACTTAAATTGTTGCTTTTTCATTTTCCTAGGTGAAAAGGCGTCAAAAATCCAGGTTAATGATTTTCATTTAAGTTGAAAAATCTCGCCCATTTGGAGATTTTTAAAAAGTTTAATAATTTTTTAAAGATTTATTTGTCCCTTCTAAAGCTCAGTTAGTTATCAATCATAACTTTAAACTATTGCTTTATTTTGATTAACGAAAGACTCGGAATTTTTTTTTCAAATGTGTAACTTTATCTATCCTAATATTTAAATAAAAGTAGTACAGTTACTTTCGAGTTATTAAAAGTTTGGAAATTTAGCATGAAGTAACTCTAATTTTGAATTTTTCATTAATCCTTTATTAAGAAATAATTTTTTCTCATTTTCTTTTTTTACATTTGAAGCGAGTAAATAACTATCTCAAGAATAATGTGTTAATTTTTCTTGAACTTATGAAATGAGGAAAATTGAAACGATCTCCTATATGAGAGTTATATATTACTAAAAGTATTTTAATAATAAAGTATTGTAACAATATCAAATTAACTTTAAAATAATAATTTTTTCCACACGATATTACCTAATTATAACCTAATTATAGCCTACTTTTTAATAAAATGTTGGAAAAATATTTTTGACGCATCGAAATTTATTGTATCCCTTAATTGTTTAAATTTATTACAAATGTGAAATTTCGTCAAATTGTATTTCAGTTTTATTAAGCAAATTCGGTAATTTTCTTTCTTAATTTTGGTATTCAAAAAACATTTACTGAGGTTTTGAGTCTGCTATTAAAGTGTTTGCTTCAAAATTTATAATTTGCAATTTTCTTAAGGTAAATTTCTTTTTATAATACCTTTTAAAAATAAAAACAACAAACGTTTATTTTTTCATCTGTAGAAAACGCAAATATTCTGAAAAATGAAATAATAAAATGGGATAGTAAGCCTTATGTATTTTAATATCCCTATTAAGGAATGAAAATACTGACAATGTATGTTTAAAAGTTAATGATTGATGTCTTGACATTGATTTCATGGCTTCATAATTGCAAACGAATGGAATGCTGAATAAATGAAAGAAATCGAAGAAGCTAAACAGCTGTAATGATGTCAACACAGTAAGCAACTGTAATGAAATGTAAATTTCTAGAAGGTCAAGAAGATTTCTAAATCAAAATGCAATAATTGGTAAAAATTTGTGCGTAAATAGCTTAAGTTTTGCGTAGTAAATAGTCTTATTCCACTGGAATTTAATTATTCATTTATTGGTTATAATTTAAGTTCAAAACAGTGATTGTCGAATTATATAGCAAAATTCTGAAATTTCCATAAATTATTGCATTGTTAATTTCGATCACCTTTTATGCTTGTTATTTGATAAGTGATAAGTGATTTTTCTCATTTGATTTATATTTTAACAATATGTAATATATTAAATCAAAAAAAATAACGACCTTCTTAATTATGTATAAAATATTAATTCATCAAATTACATTTGTTTATTTATATCGCTAATTTTAAGTACGTTTATAAAGCTTTTACTCCATTTTATATTATTCGAGTAAGTAGTATTAAGTAAGATATTTTTGCCGTATATTGAATTATTTTTTACTATATATGAGTGATTATATTGTTTTAATTTCGGTTAAATCGAAGATTTTAACTAATATACAATCAATATATTTAAATAAACAGTATATCAATAACTTCAAATATTATTTTTATTAACGTTAAAAAAATATAATTTTGAAAACAACTAATTCTTTCGACTAACTTGTTAAGTTGAGCCCATGTGCGAGAGTTTGTGGGTTCGAACCCAGCAGGCCTATGTAGTAAAGTGACTGATGCACCTTGAATCTGTCGAGTCGCAAAAAGTCCTCCATGTTCCCATAACAAATCAATACCTCTGGGGGTACTGGATTGGAGATCGGTCCAAACAGATTCAGGTCAAAATTACGATTTGTGGATGAATGGACGTATGAATGAGTCCGCCCAATAAGCGGGTGCAACGTATGGTGTGGTGGAAGTCGAATTCTTGGCCATAGATGGCGCCACTGGAAAACAAGAACAATCGCACCCCTTCTGCCTAAACAGGCATACATCAACAACTTGTTAAGTTATTTGATTAATAACGTTGCAAGACATATTTATGAAACATACGTTAATAATGTTCTAATACATGTATTGTTATATTTTATTCAATTAATGCTAACTCAACTGTTCTTTTTTTTTGAATTATTGCTATTGTAATTATCAGCTTACACAGTTAAATTATTTCGATAAATGACGTTAATTTACATATTTAAGAAACATACGTTAATTATTTTCTATTACATGTATAATTGTATTCTCTATAACTCAGCGTTGATTGACATTTAAAAAACTTAAGTAAATTTTCTTTTCTCATAATTATACTTTCTTTAATTAATGCTAACTGAACTATTTTTTAATTATTGCTCAATAACTTTCAGCTTACTCGGTTTATTTATTTGGTTAAATGACGTTGATTCACATATTTAAAATAACACACTTACATACAAGATCTATAAACATAGATGAAACATACGTTATTTTGTTTCTAATACATGTATAATTGTATTTTCGTTAATTATTGGTAACTCAATTGCTTCGTTTAATAAATGCTAACTCAATAACTTTCAGCTTACTCGGGTTTGTTATTTTGTTAAATTACGTTGATTTATATATTTATGAAACATAATTTTTTTTCTAATGCATGCATAATAGTATTTTCTTTAATTATTGTTAACTTAACTGTTTATTTCACTTAATGCTAACTCTGTAACTTTCAGCTTACTCGGTATAGCTGTTTGAGTAAATGTCGTTAATTGGTATATTTATGAAATATATAATTTTTTTCGTACATTTATAATTATGTTTCCTTTAATTACTGCTTACTCATTTAATAATATCATTTATCATTTACAAACTTTAATTATTGCTAATTTCATTGTTAACTTTAGTTGCAAAGAGCTTCGCCTTCAGCTCACATAAGTATAATCACTAAAATAAAGTATACTTTATTTCTCTAGAAATATATAAACTGCCTCTAGCGGAACAGTAAGATTTATATTTATTAGTTTAAACTAGTCCAAGAAGAACATTCGAACGTGATGTTAAATGATAGTCCTTTAACCAATGGGGTCCCATATATTAAAAATTATTGACGAAATACTTTTAAGACACGTAAGTTTGTGGAAGTTGAACATGTAAGTTTGTGAGACTAATTTTAACCTTGCTTCCTTCTTTCTTTAACTCGTAGGATCTGTTTCCAAAATAATAAGTTCAATTTCTTTTACAAAACTCGAAGGTTTTTTTCTCTTTTATAGACAAAAAGTACCAAGTTTTTGTTAAATTTTTTGTGAATTATCAAAGGTCAATTTATAAATCAATAGTTTTTTTGAAAGTGTGAAACTTTTCATATGAGAGTAAAAAATAGAGTGATTTTTTGTGACTCTTCAAAGGTTAATTTATAAAACAATAGTTTTTCTGAAAGTGTGAAACTTTTCATATGAGCGGAAAAAATCGATTTTGACGAAGCGTGAAAGTGGCGAACGGTGTTCAGTTATCTGTGAAACACAATCGTCGATATTAAAATTTATAAAAATTGCATATACTTTAATTATAAATTTATTACGCTTTTGATTCTTTGAAAGACCGTTAGAATCTAGTTTTTAAAAATTCCCACTATATAAATCTAAATAATTAACTACTTGAAAACTGACTTATACAGACCATAATAAACTTCGTTCTTTCTTCACTGGGGCGATACCCCAAGGTGTGCCCTAGCTTATCGCAGAGTTTTACCCCAAATCATTCTGTTCTTTATCAAACATTTTTAATTTATTACTTAAATTGTTTTAGAGTATTTTTCGAATCAGTCCTACCACCTAAGCCTTGGTCTCAGTCTCTTTCCAGCGGCGATTGACTTAGCGAATAACAACCTAAATTTTAAAAAAATATTACTGGAAAAAGCGTATT